TCTGTACACGAATCTGTGAGATACTTGGCTGGAATGCTATTTAATCACAGAAACAAAATGATTCAATGAATTACAAGTGCAATATCGGCTGCTATTTCTATTTAGCTATTGCTACCTCAAAAGCCCCGTGTGAAATTACAAAATCCTACACAGATAAAAATGGCCCAGTCCCTTGATTTTCACCCTGCATGTCATCTAGTGATGACTTTGTATGTCTTCAGAAAGCAGGCAGTATTTGTTTCCTCATATTTCAGGTGTGATAGGAGGAAGTCTTTGGACAAAGACCCTTGACTGTACCTAGAAAGGGCAAGGCAGCATTTTTTATCCAAACAGGTTCTGGATTCAGTTTGATTACTGTCTTGTAACTAGGCTCTTCCAGCTTGTTCATGAGAACAGGAGGAACTTTGCAATCATTAACGATCTTGTTTGGTCACCTAATTGCAAAAACGCTCTTGTAAGCTAATGATGCTATTGGTGAACTAGCCACAAAAGATTGAGTATTTTTGATCATGTTTTCCTCTCACTTAGTGGTTAAACCTGGGAATTTGTCACTCATTAATGGCCTGATTCAGCAAAGTATTCAAATAATTGCTTGTGTAAAAATTAATTTTACTGGGGTTACTCACCCAGTCGTTAAACAGGTGAACAAACAAGTGTTTAACTACTTGCATCTTCAACCAAAGAGCAGAAGATGGGAAAGAAATTTCGTTCTCCAGTTTTAGTTAATATTGCAAACAGCAATTGCTCACTTACCTGTTACTGTTCATGTCTTCTTTAAGCACAAGTTAGTTGTAGTACAGCGTAAGGTAGCACTAAATGCATGCAGTATATGCATGCATGACAGAAGACCATAGCTAGTTTTTCGTTCAAATTTAGTCAAGGTCTGTGCAATCTACATCTACCATAATTACTAAAAATAAGATTTTAAGTCAGAGTGAGGTTATATATTATTATCTTATTGGTAAAAGATTGCATTGAGTTCATAACTACTGAGTTATTAAGCTCAAAAGATTAAGCTCAGACATAAATACTTAGTGGTAATATCTTTGATAAAAATAAATCTTATTTTTAATTTCTCTAAATATCCCTGCACAGCCCTGTGCCTTAATCAAAACAAATGGTAAATAAAAAAATGATTTTCATTTAATTTTAAAATTAAAATTTTCTGTCAGCAGCCGTGTGAAGATACAAGAGCTTAATCTCAGCTGACAGTATGTGTTGCCAGGGAATGATTGGTATAAGCCTGTTTTGATAGTTCTGCCCACTGAAAGCAGAGGAAGACAGACCCAACAGGGCAGAGAAAATGTCCCCGATAATAATTCACCTAAGACTCTTTATCTTTGGCTACCTCCACTAGTCAGTCCTTCCTTAGTAAAATATCCTGTGCTGAAAATTGTACATTTTTTTCTTAATCAGGAAGATCTAAATGGTTTGTAATAGGTTTACTAAGTGTACAGACTTTGAAATGTTGTTAATTTTTTTGACACTTGTAGGTTGAAGATCCTCAAGGATCATTTTACTTACTCGCTTTATGTCAATGTCTGTCGCTCACTCTTTGAAAAGGACAAGCTGCTCTTCTCTTTTTGTCTAACTGTGAATCTCCTGAAATATGAAAGATTGGTAAGAAAAAAAATGGTAGATAAACATTAGATGGCATGTACAAGCTATCAGTAACAACATTGCATAGGATAAAAAAATTATATGTGATTATAATATACTTTAAGCTGTAATTCTATGCTATTTAATTTTCATTTTAATAAGAAGCTATAAGTGATTAAAGAGATTCTTTAGAATAAATATTAAAAAAACAGGCGTGGTGAAACTATACTAAATGATGCTAATAGTTTATCTGATCTTGTAATTAAGCTTATATTAGGATTTTTTTTTTAAATTGATACTGAAATATATCCATGTTAATGATATCAATGGTCTCCTGAACAGTATTTCTAGCTGTAGTGAGATTGGTTATCTCAGATTTAACATATATTAGCATTATAGAATTTATTTCATTAGGGAATTCATTAGAAATGAATAATTTCTAGAGCTGACAATAATAGTCATTGGACACTCTAGTCCCCTATTTCTAGGGATTTTGATTTACAAATATACGCCATCAAATACATTTGGAGATAAAGGACATTAAGAAATAAATGCAAGCTGCTAGGGACTGATACATTTTTTCATCTCTAGACAGAAATAAAGGTTTATCTGAAAATCTAGTTAGTATTGCTTATGTCTCAATTTAGGGATAAGGATGAATTTTAAAATTCATTCATGACTTTTTTTTTCAGTTGCATAAGTTAGTGCTTAACTGAAAAGCAGACACCAAATGTTTTGGAATTTAGTATTTATATAAAAGCTTTTTCAATAAATCTAAGAATAAAGTATAAGAGTATTAACTCCCTACAAAAAGCACCAAGCCCATCAGATTTTATTTATTTAATCCTGAGAGGGGTGTCTGTCTTTGTAGATTGATGAGAATGAGTGGAAATTCCTCTTGACCGGTGGGATTGGTTTGGACAATCCTTTTTCCAATCCTTGTACCTGGCTTCCTCCACAATCATGGGATGAAATTTGCCGACTAGAAGACTTGGCACACTTCAAAAACATTCGCAAGGATTTCATGCAACTCAAGGATGGATGGAAATTGGTCTATGACAGCTTGGTATGTTAACATTCCTGCCTTCATAAGTTAGTTAATGCATACCAAACACTTAGAGAAAAAGAAAGTGTTGTTACGATATTTTACTGTGTATTTTAATGTAAATAGTGTGCATAGTGGCAGATAACTGCCAATTTTTCAGGTAGCTTGTGAAGAACAACTTGAATTCTGATGGAAGGGAAAAAAAAAAAGCACAATAAGGTGATAGTGGAAAATGCTAAACTTAAGATAACCACTGTGGCTTTATCAGTCTGTGCATTTTTCACCTTACTTGGAAAATGCCTTTTTGTGTTATTACATGTCTCTGCTCTCCTGGACAGGGTGGGATGGGTGCATGAAAAGGTAAAAGCCAAGAGAGTCTCATAGAGGAAGCAGAATAGGAGTCAGGAGGCCTGTGTCCCTTTCCTGACTGTCAGTGTCCTGATGCTGACTTGCTCTTGCATAAATAACTTGATCGCTGTTTCCAATTTAAGCTCTTTAGATTAGTTTTACTCTGCAATTATGCAAATGTTTCAGCTTTACTCTATTATATTTTTAATTTGCACTCCTCCAACTGCTTCCTGCTATGAAAAGCTACCTATGCTTACCATTACACAGGCTTTCTGAACAACACAAGCTGAAAAGTAAAGTTTTCCTGCTTTGATACTTGCATCATATCTCACTGTAGTTACTCTCAGTATTTGGGTAAAACTGTCTGCTTTCTTATGTCTATCAGATAGACTAGTTCTCTGTCTGATGAAAAATCATTAGTTTTCAAAGGACACAGGATCTCTTCAAAAATTCACCCTTCCAAACTGTTTACACATGTACCTCAAACATTTAATTACTGTTTATTAATTGGATGCGTCAAGGAATTGGTTTCTACATTAACAAGTGAACTTAAATGATCCCAAAGCTACTGGCCTTGTCACAGAGAAATGAGCACTACACCGTGATGCAACTTAGGTGTAAATGTTGCACTTAAGACTCCTCATGGGTTCTTACTTGGCTTATTCTTACCAACCTTGCATGCTTTTAGCTTAACTGTTCAACTGCTGCTACCAAGAGCATTCTGAGGTACCTCTTCTCCCATTTGTTAATAGAAAGATATACAGCATTCCAGACTCCAGTCTGGAATTAGGCACCTAGAACCAGGCTCCAGCTACCCCTGTGCTCCCTTGTGTTTTGATCTGCTAAATAAAAATTGTTCAGCATGCAAGTTCTGCAGCTCTGGCTGCATGTAGCTGAGGAGAACTCCCTGCAAGCAGGTCTGGGGTAGCTCCCAGGGCACTCTAACATCCCATTCCAGAAAGGGCCCTACAACTGGTGCTCTGCTCCATTTGAGTAAGAAACCACACTTGTAATAGAGGCCAGTTATAGCCTGAGGTTACTGGTCCATTTTTTTGACTTGCCTTTGCAATTCTTGTGACATCTGACATCCTAATTCTACACTATCACTGAAAGAGGGAAGTAAAGCATGTTTTCTTCCATCCTATCCCTCTTCCACTTTCTTCCTAAAGTTTGTGTTTACAGATTGTTTAAAAAAAAAAAATACAATTGACTCTACCTAGGAAGCACATGAGGATTCAAAGATATGTTTAAAGGTGGGGGTTTTTTTTGGGGGGAGGGGGTGGGGACAGGAGGGAAGGGCATGAAGGGGAAGGGGGCATGATGGGCATGAGAAGGTAGAACTGAACATGTAAATGCATTTCCCACAGATTTAGAAAAAAACAGATGAATATATTTAGTTAAAAAGCCTTCCCTTAAAGCATTTATCTCCATTTTTAGGATCCTCCACATGAAGATTTTCCTGGGGAGTGGCAAGAGCTGGGCGAATTCCAAAGGATGCTTATCATTCGCTGCCTGAGGCCTGACAAAGTACGTACAAAACTTCCCACTTCCTCACCTTTTCCTGCCTTTCTTACAAGCCAAATGAGTTTGTAAGTATTCATTTATTCATTAGTCTATTGACATTTTAGTGTCTCTTAATAAAAAGGAATTAACAAGCAACTTATGAACATCCTGAACACAAACAGAAAATATTGCATATTTTAATAAGGTTTTTAAAGTGATTTTTACTATGGTTACCTAAGGTATAATGCTGTCAAGTAATAAGAAAGAAACATTTAGTTTTAAATGAAAGAGTAGACCTTCAGGTCTTTTTCAGATGTCATTGTATACACAGAAGTCCCCAGAGCTCTTGCTCTTCAAGACTGCCTTATATTCCTTCTAACTTTCTCTGTACAGCTGCTATTGGTTTGTGTAATTTTTTTTCTTCTTCAAATGAGCTTTATTATCTATGATAACATGCAGCTGATCCAGGAAGATAATTTAATCGTAAGCAGGAGTATGGATAATATAAGTACTTACAGTAACAAATCCTTTCAATAAGTTCAATAGGTGAAGCAGAACTGTTTAGCTTTGTCTTCAAGATTTACTGCTAGACAGGTTCAATCTAGACCACAATGAGTTGTTACAGTTATTTCAAATATTTATTCAGAAGTCAAACTATAAAACAAGAAAAAATTCATTAGACATTTTCATATAGTCATAATGTAGTGGCTAATGTGGACTAACAGCAGTCCCATAGTCACACTACACAGTGATGGGCAAGAGCAGTATAAACAGTTATGTCCTCTGTTACAGGCAGTCTATAAAATTGTTTAGAGAAGAAATCCTTAGACAACTTTTTAGCTATGGTTAGTACTCAGATAATATGAATGCTTTTACCATATAGAGAAGAGATAAGGCTTTAGAGTCAGACTTCACACTTCTGGATTTGTTGGCTGATAACAAGAACTTTCAGAAGTTGGGGCAGGTGGCTCAACAAGGAAATCTGTTGGCATCTGGGATGGGTACTGATGTTTGGAGACAAAGTTATCCACAAGACGCTTCCTAGTTGCAGCTACTTCTTCTTCAAAAGAGTTGATTATGCTGCTGCCAATCTTGCACTTAAAGCAAAGCAAAAAGATTGAGACTCTCAATTGAACTTTTTACCTCATAGTTAAAGTACATGCAAACCTAGATCTTCAGAGACCTCTTGATCCACCTTTAACCCTGGATTAGAGGTCTGCTCCTGCCTATGGCCAGCAATTCCAGTCTGAATGCTGCCTAGTTAGCCATCATATGCAAGCCTCATTGAAGAAGTTCTTCCACCTACCTTACCAGTAGCATTCTGGTCAGAAACTATTTTGAGGCTATACTTTCATTTTTAAAATAAGTCGTGACATCATTCTTTACCTACATTTTAAATCTAATTAGGGATGGAGGCTTTGGGTTTATTTCCTTTTGTGTGCAGGTACTGGGTCTCACTTCTCAAAAAAAATGCATGAGTATTCCAAGGCAGCAGCATGTTCTGGGTCAATCTTAGCTATTGGCATCCTTGGGTTGGCAAAGGGGAAGCTGTCATTTCAAAGTCTCTTAATTCTTTACTTAAATAAGGAATATTTTTAGCCCAGGCCCTTAATTGCTCTAAATCATTTGCTGATCGGACATAGTAAGTAAACATCACCACCTTCTTATTCCTCAGTTCACCTTATGCTGCTCCCACTGTGGTATGTGGTTCCATTTACAGATATTAAGTACATTCTGTAGGGAACTTAACTACTTAACCTTGACATCCAACCAGAAGGTGGTTATTTCCACCTGAACAATACCCACAAAATAGAGACCCCATGTGTGCAAAGTTGCCCAGGAGCTAGTGTGCAGCACTGAGAACTAAGAGGCAGACTGATCAGAGTCCCATCAGGGGCTCCTTGTGGGACACCCTATTCTCACAATAACTATTTTTCAGATGAGAGGTCAAATATCACAGAATACTAGTTGAAGCAGCTCAGCTGCAGGCTCATGGATATCACCATGAGATACCATGCATGAAATCCCCAAGCAGAGAGCAGTACAGCTGAAGAACTGTTAAACATTGTAAATGGGCTAGAAAGTTTGACAGCTTAATTGAACAGCTTTTATATGTAAGGCTTTGGACACGTGAAGCAATAAAAGATGGACTAATGACTAAGTTTAGTCTGGTCTGGTTTTGTTGCCCTCACATGTTGATCCCCTTCTAGGGGTAGGGAGATAGGGAGGACACCTAGGTATATTTGATATTTTCTTCTGTAACAAGTCATTGAACCTTTCTAAAGGAATTAGGTTTTCTTTCAGAAGTTACGGCAATAGACTAGATGTTCACAAGTTGTTAGGTACAGAATTTTTAGCTAATAATGCACATGAATCCGATTTCAGAACCTTCTAGCCTGTCCCCATTCCTTACTGCTAATGCACACAAATGAGGGCAGAGCCCCCAGTTACATTCTAGTCTCACACCTTAGATTGCACTTGTTTGGTGAATACTTACAAGGAAAGTTCTCAGCCGTGACATCTCCAGCATGTAGAACTCCTCCATGGTCAGGTCATCAAAGGGCTTGGTAAGGGATAAAAAGCCACATTTCTGACGCTTGGAGTGTTCCACCCTGCAACATAAGCTCAAATTAAGAACATACATCTAAACCTTCCATGTATATTTAAAGAGATAAAGAAAACAGGACTCTTCATTAGGGGTACAGTCTGTCAGTAGAAAAGGTATTAGCAGAAGACAGATGAAACACTTCAGTGAGTATTTCATATGCTAACTAGTTGTATTAGTTGCAATCTGGAAAGAAAACCAGGATTATGGAGGGGGAGTCTGTAGTGCTATGGGGAACTTTCCTGATCTGTTAAAGCAAAAACATTCTCTGCAGAGGCAAAGCCAACCTCAAGGAGCTGTATAGAATGTATTTAATGAGTTCTGATGCATTTCAAGCTTAACGGGTAAGATAAGTTTTCCTTAGACTTGCTTTTTAAACTGCTATGGAGAAGTTAGTTGTTGTATAATCAGTAAGGGACATAGTCCCAGAAACCTGGGTGTTGTTCTGTCCCTACTTACCATGGGTCATCATCTGGCTCCCAGCCCTCCAGCTCTATCAAGCAGAAGAAGCACTTGACCACATCAGGTTCACTGGCACTTGGACAGTGGACAAAGCCTGCCCGGGCCATCTGCAGGGGACAGTTGACGAGGTCAGGGCACTTAGCACAGCACCCACACCATGCCCTTCCCCACAGTGTCTATCAGCACCATCAGGCCACGAAGAAGTTGTAACTGAGAGCTGTGAGCTGCTAAACAAGCATCAAATAGAGGCACAAGAAACAGCTGCAAGCAGCAAACAGTGGTTTGCATAGTTGCACTATCCACAGGCAGCTGCAGTAGCTTTCTTCCAGCAGGTAAAATCTGTCCTTTATTTGCCAAGTGGCATTTGCACAAGCCTTCCCTATCAAAACACTGCATCTGCAACAGCCAGAGCTTCAAAGACTGTTTCCTGAGGGAACAAAATAGCCTAAGAGCTGCAGAAGACTCTTCAATATAAGTTAGGCACATAAAGTATTATAATTTCTACATTTTCCTGTTACTTTTATTGATTGCTAGAAATAGCTTAAGACTATCACATACAGTCAAAAGCCTAGAAGGGTGGGGGAAAAACTACCCCAATTCACAGCTTCAATTATATCAATTCACATCTCCTTGAGTAATTTTAACACCTTTGTTCATCTGAGATCCACCTATCCAACTTCCAGGTTGCATCCAAATGAGAAGTGTTATAGTTTGCTGGGTCAAAGACTAGAAACATAAATATTAATTTACTTACATTTTATGTAATGTTTATTTCTGAATTTTAAGTAATAACAACCCTGACATACTGGCCTTTCTGCTCAGAGAGTCCTTACATCACCTAACGTAAGCACATCTCTAAATTGGAAGTTGCAAGCAGAAAAAGAACGCATAATGCACAAAGGTAACTTTGAAGCAATAAAGAAGAAAAAAAAGAAGAGTAACTCTATTCAATGTTACAGCTAGACTACTGACATGGACATACAGAAATCATTCATTCTGCTGCAGTATCTCAAAGCAAAAAATAAAAGAAAGGAAAAACACTCTTTTTAATGAATATGAGTTATCAGAAGCTCCTAGCTGTTCTTAAACATGAACATATTTAACAGCAACTCCACACAACCACAGACGTAGAACAAAAAAAATCAGAACTACTCCTTTTCAGACTTACATTCTCTGGAGTACATTTACAGTTCTCTGCAAAAGGCCACTTCGTGAAGGTTTTAAGGCGGTTCTCATACTCATACATGTCCTTAAAATCAGTCAGAAGCTTAGCAGATGCAGCCAGCTCCTCCAACAGCCCCTCCATCTCCAAGGCCACCACAGCTCTTCCCCCTCCCTGCTCGCAGTTTATAGCCCTGCACTGAGTGGCCACGAGTTGCACCTGGGAGCTGAGAGGTGGGAGGTGGGTGAAAACCACCCGTGTGACCAGGAGCAGGAGCCCCTGGGCTGTGCCATGGAATTAGTCACAGCAGGTATTTATTAACCCACCCTAATGCCATCTAGAAGCTACAAGTTTTTATAACTGGGAAGCTTAAAGTTAAATATTCAATGTGAATTTAGCAATGTTTCATGTGTTGAATTCATGCAATAAATATTTTTCATGTAAGGTATTACAAGCATTTTACTCTGAGTGGGATCAAGATATCATTTCTGTTTCAGCACTTTCTGTGTTCCCTACACTTCTTTGAGGTGGGAATAAATAAAAATATTAGGTTAGTAAATAATAAATATTATAATTAGTAAGAAAATCTATAAAATATTCTGGAGTATGTCTTAAATTCTAAGAGTTCAGAAGCAGAATAGGAGAAAGATGTGCATAAGTATTTATAGATCCCAGACTTTACGCTGTCTTCATACAAATTGTCTCTCACTTTGCTTCAGTAGGAAGCAGTGCACAGAAGCTGCTCAAGTTCTCTAACCTAAGATCTTTTGGGAAAGGCAGTTGATTGCTAAACCTGAAATTCTCTCCATAAAACACATGGATCATATGCAGGAAAAAAAATCCAGTGTGGTTCACCAACCCCTCAGCCTGCCCAGATGTGCTGCCTGAAAGGACATCAAGGGCTGTTTGTCTTGAATGTCTTTCTTCAGCCATTTTGCAGCATCGTCCATTACAGCAGCTATTTTTGTTGTTATATAATGAGCTATTCTTGGCATATATATATTAAAATGTTCAGAGTAATGTGTTCTAATGCTGTTGTAAGAGTGGGCTATTTTAATTTTTTTTTTTTTTTTTAGATAATACCAATGGTGCAGGAATTTATCATTCACAACCTGGGTCGTCCGTTCATTGAGCCGCCTCCGTTCGACCTGTCCAAAGCGTTTGCCGATAGTCACTCGTGTGCCCCCCTCATATTTGTGCTGTCTCCCGGTGCAGACCCCATGGCCGCCCTGCTCAAGTTTGCTGATGATCAGGTTATGTTATTTAACATTGTTTTAATAACGTTGCCAAGATTTTTTAAGCTGGATGATGCGTGTGTGTGTATACATCTGTGGGAAGCAAGGACATCGTACTGCAAAATGTGGTAACTAACTGGAACTGGTAAATGTGTTCTAAATTTCATAGTAAGTTCTGAGGAGTCTTATGAACTAGTCAGAATTGTACAGTTCAGAATGAAGTGGAGAAGGAGTTGGAGGTTTCCCCTGGCAGAGGGGGGTTTTAGTCAACTGGACTGACATGAAAGACAGATTTGCTCTGTGATTTAAAATGTACTGCACATTAGCTGTGAACTGCTGTACCAGAGGCTTTGATGTGCGCTAGTCCTAACATGCTTTATATGTGCAGGGATATGGTGGTGCGAAGCTCAGCTCTCTCTCACTTGGTCAAGGCCAAGGCCCAATAGCCATGAAAATGATAGAGAAGGCAGTAAAAGAAGGAACGTGGATAGTTCTGCAAAATTGCCATCTGGCAACGTCATGGATGCCAATCCTGGAAAGAGTCTGTGAGGTAAAAATAGCATTTTCTTCTTACAAACACTGTGGGTATGGCAGAGCCATCAGGTAGCTGAAACCAAACAGCTCAACATACTTCATGATTATGCAGGGGGCATCATCACAGCTTGGTTCTTGTTCCTTCTATCTACTGGAGTGAAAAACTCAGGAACATTGTGGGTCTTGCCCATTCTGTGGTGAAAGTCCCATCCACCGCAGCAGCCCTCAGAGCCTTCTTCCAGTATCTGCTATTGCAGCAACTGGTGCTCTGAGGAATTCTGCACTTGTACAACCACAGGTCATACTGGTGTATTTTCCCACTTGAGAAAAAAAAAAAAAAAGAAGTCTCCTTTAAGATGAGAAGTTGAAGTGTATGTTCATGTCTCCCAATCGCTTGTTTTATTTGTGTTTCAGGAGTTAAACCCTGATACGACCCATCCCGATTTCCGGATCTGGCTCACCAGTTACCCATCTCCGAATTTCCCAGTGTCTGTGCTTCAGAACGGGGTGAAAATGACTAACGAAGCACCAAAAGGTTTACGGGCAAATATAATCCGTTCCTACCTGATGGATCCAATTTCTGATCCGGACTTTTTCAACAGCTGCAAGAAGCCGGTTAGTGATGTTGCGCCAGCGCGGATACCGGGGTCGTGGGAAACCTGCTGGCAGTGAAGCAAATTTTATTAATATTTTAGTTTTGTTTTACTGAGTCATCTTCATCTGAGATTTTGTGTTAATGATACAGCTTTCTAGTTATTTTCCTTTTTTTTTTTTTTTCTTAACAAGTGATTTCCCATTACAAATCTGAATAGGTTTCAGCCCCAGGAGGCTGGGGACTCCTGTTGTGGAATATCCCCTGACCTGCATGCTGTTCTGGTGTGTATTTAATCTGTAACATAAAAATATTCCCATCGCAGAATTGAGAAGGCCAACTGATAGCATGACTCACAAGTAAATGCTTCCCCTCCACATGTTTTAAGTAACCCAGGAAAGCAGTAACTTGTCATAATTAGATTTAAGTACTCAGTCATATCCAATTGAAAAAAAAGGCTTTTTTTTTTTGTATTTTTCACTTCACATAATTAAATAGTGCAGTGTTAACAGTATTTTACAACAGGAGAGTGTAAAAAAAAATGGGAACATAATCTCTTACACGCATGGGTGTAACTATCACAGATTTAAGACTAAAATTATTTTGTGGGTTCTTACTGGCTTAAGAGAACATTCAAAATCACTGCTGGTGCCCAGGCTCAGGGTCAGCGCACTCCTACAAGAAAGAAGTTAAGTAAGTGGGGAGGAGAACCGTATGGATGGGCAAGGAGCTGCTGGGCAAACTTAATGAGGAAAAGAGCACATACAGCATGTGGAAGAAAGGCCAGGCCACATGGGAAGGATATAGGAGCATTGTCAGAGAATGCAGGGATGCAACGAGGAAGGCCAAGGGATCCAAGACATCCAAGACATTCAAGAGATGTCAGGGACAACAGGAATGGCTTATATAAATATATCATCAGCAGGAGGAAGTCTAGGGAAAATGTTGGTCTGCTGCTGAATGGGGAGGGTGCCTTGGTGACGGAGGATGCCGAGAAGGCAGTTACTAAATGCTGCCTTTGCCTCTGTCTTTACTGCTAAGGCTGGTCCCTCTAAACTACAGAGCTCAGGTGAAAGAGAGTTAAAGAGGAAGACCTGCCACTGGTCGAGGAGGATTGGGTTAGGGATCTCTTAGGCAAACTGGGCACCCACAAATCTTTGGGCCCACTGCAGTCTACAAAAAAAGGCCAAAGGGAGGAGCTGGGCAACTACAGACCGATCAGCATCACCTCCGTCCCTGGAAAGGTGATGGAGCAGCTCATCCAAGAGAACATCTCTAGGCACGTGAAGGAGAAGGAGGTGATCAGGAGTAGTCAGGATGGATTCACCAAGGGGAAGTCATGTCTGACGAACCTAAGAGTCTTCTACAATGGGATGACTGGCCAGCTGGACGAGGGCAGAGCCATGCATGTTGTCTACCTTGACTTCAGCAAGGCTTTTGACACCGTCTCCTATAATATTCTCATAGGAAAGATCCAGTGTGGCCTGGACGGGTGGACAATGAGGTAGATTGAGGACTGGCTGGATGGCAGAGCTCAGAGGGTAGTGACAAATGGGGCCGAGTCCAGTTGGAGGCCTGTGGTGCCCCCAGGGGTCAGTGCTGAGCCTGGTGCTGTTCAATTTGTTCATCAATGACCTGGACGAGGGCACTGAGGGCACCCTGAGCAAGTTTGCAGATGACACCAAGCTGGATGGAGTGGCCGACACTCCGGAGGGCTGTGCTGCCATCCAGAGGGACCTGGACAGGTTGGAGAGTTGGGCAGAGAGGAACCTCATGAGGTTCAACAAGGACAAGGGCAGGGTCCTGCACCTGGGGAGGAATAACCCCAGGCACCAGCACAGATTAGGGGTGGACCTGCTGGAGAGCAGCTCCACGGAGAGGGACCTGGGAGTCCTGAACGACACCAAGTTACCCACGGGGCAGCAGGGCCCTCGTGGCCGAGGAGGCCAATGGGCTCCCGGCTGCATGAGGAGGACGTTGGCAGCAGGGCAGGGAGGGGATCCTGCCCCTCTGCTCAGCTCTGGGGAGGCCAAACCTGGAGCACTGGGGGCAGCTCTGGGCTCCCCAGCACAGGAGGGACGTGGAGCTGCTAGACAGGGGCCAGCGCAGAGCGACAGGGATGATGAAGGGAATGGAGCAGCTCTCGTGTGAGGAGAGACTGAGCGAGCTGGGCCTGTTCAGCCTGGAGAAGAGAAGCCTGAGAGGGGATCTGATCAATATGTACAGATACCTGAGGGGAGAATGTAGGGCGGAAGGGGCCCAACTCTTCTCAGTGGTGGCCAGTGACAGGACAAGGGGCAATGGGTACAAGCTGAAACCCAGGCAGTTCCATCTCCATGTGAGGAGGAACTTCTTTGCTGTGAGGGTGCCCGAGCCCTGGCCCAGGCTGCCCAGGGAGGCTGTGGTGGCTCCTGCTCTGGAGGTCTTCCCAACCTACCTGCATGCAACCGGGTGCCCCGTGCTCTGAGTGTCCCTGCTGTAGCAGGGACAGAGCAGCGCCACACGGGGCGTGACATGGGAGAGCCGGGCTGATTAACATACAGGTGAATAATTAACTTTGTGCTTGGCTTCCAGGCCGAGTTCAAGACCCTGCTCTACGGCCTCTGCTTCTTCCACGCGCTGGTACAGGAACGGCGCAAGTTCGGGCCGCTTGGCTGGAACATCGCCTACGAGTTCAACGAGACGGACCTGCGCATCAGCGTGCAGCAGCTGCAGCTCTTCCTCAACCAGTACGAGGTAGTGCCCTGTGGCCACGGAGCAGCCCCAACACGGCCTAGGGTTCG